CAACAAGCACGAGGGCAGGACAGCTGTAATGTTTTCCTCTGAAACCTTGGACGCCTCAGTCCCGTGGGAGCATCCTGTTCTCTGGGGATACAGGAGGCAGAACTGAAGGCAGCGCTTCCACTTCCATCCCTCTGGACATGGGAGAGGAGGATGCTGAGGAACACGTCCAAGAACACACCAAGGAAGGTCCTTAGGTGTACTTTGGGCACATTTGGAAACTCAGGGTTCAGCAGGCAGCCTGGAAGTCACTGCCACGCCCGACTCTGAGAAAAGCTGCACCCTCATTATGTTAATTAACAGCGGAGAAGGAAATCAAGCACAGGTCTGTGCCCCATCATCCCTTCCCACCAAGGCAAATCCATCGTGCTCCACGGCCTTCTCCAAGGGAAAGGGTGACCAGAGAGTGGAAATTCCAGGTCTGCTCCCAACTATCAGAGCAAGGAGAGGCTGGAGCACCCCTGGATAAGAAGAGCGGGTGTGAAACAGCAACTGCTCAAACCAGGGCAGGATCCCGTGGCACATCCAACAACCACAGGAGGTGACAGCCACACCAGAGCCCTGCCATGAATGAGGAGAGACAGGTCCTGATAGGAACACCTGGGCACGAGGCAGAGCCTGATTACAGCGAGCTGCTCCTGCATTTGCTGAGCAGCTGAGCTGTGCCCCCACACCTTGTAGGGCAGGGGTAGGATTATGCTGGAAATAGGAACATTCCTCAAAATCACAGCCCCTGATCCATCACCCTCCCCATGGCAAATGAGCCCACCAAAGCCAACAAGGCAAAAAATGGCAATGAGAGGTTTGGAGTTTGAAGGTAGAGCTGAAAAGCAGGCCCAAGGTGCAGAGAAATGTTACCCTGAGTTTTAAATGAGTAAAAGCTGGTGCAAACATCAAGAGCTCCTGCTGGAGGCTGGAGAAAGCCCTGCCCTCTCCACTGCTCTTGGTCCTCTGAGATGTTCTCCTCCTCTTCCCACCCACAACAGAGGTTTATGATGGCATTATCAATGTTCCCAGCACCTCTGGGAGTGCAGGACCTGCTCAGAAGGGTTATTTCAGCCTGAAGGGCAGACTTACCACAAGCAAATCCAAAAGGAGAAGGAGCCGCGGGGTTTTTGCACCTTCTGCCAAGAAATGTCAGGGCCTCCAGCACGAGAGGGGCACAACTTGTTCCTTCCTCTCTCTTTTCTCTTTCTGAGTAAATTAAAAATAATGGTGGTAGATGCCTCTTGGCTTTATCCTCTCCCACCAGAGCAGATTCAATTATCAGCTTCCCTGAGTGGCAGAGGTGTGATTTACTCCCAGAAATGGATGTATTAAGATGCAGGGCAGCAGGAAGTTTCCATCTGCCCCCCAACCAAATTCCCCAACCATTCCCACACTGAGGATCAGATAAGCTCTCCTGTTTCCCTTCCTCATTAATGGGTTTGGGAGGTGCAGCCTGTGGTTCTGTTAAAGAAGCCTTGAGGACACGTTCACCTGGGAGAGCTCACACCAGATTCCTTTCTTCACCCATCCACGGGATGCTCTCTACCTCCAAAACCATCTCAGTGCCCACCAGCTGGGCACAGGGAGCTTCACACCTGAGCTGGCAGCTGCTGCTGACACCAAAACACCCCAAAACATCCCAGGCCCAAAGGGAATTCCCATGCCAGAGGTGGGCAGCTGAAACCTCAAAAGGTCCTGCATGAAAAGAGCACCGTGCCCCAAACGAGGGGCTCAGCCCCCTCAGAGGACCCAAACCCCAGCTGTTCCCTTTCCACCCACATCCCATCCTCCTGATGGCCAGGGATGGGAGTTGTTGTTGTTCCCATATCACATCCCAGAGCCCAGTGTGGCACTCCTGCTGCATCCAGGCACTCCTGCTCCACCACGATGCTCCTCACCACTCACACCAAGCCCTCTGCATCCCACAATTCCCATTTGATTCCCCTTTAAAGGGGCTGTAATGCAGCGTGTATTTATACTTCAAAACAGCTTGTTTGTGTAATTGCCAAAAAAATGTTAAAAAAAGGAAAAAAAAAAAAAGACACAAAACAGCCCTGCTACAATGACTAATTAGCTCGCTCCTGCCTCGTCCCCTGTAAACAAATGTATTTGTAACCAATTTGCAAGCACTTTGCATAAGGGGCCCAGAACACTCGTGCCTGTTTGATGCATTTTGACATTAATTTGATAATAGCAGCTTAACAAGGAATCCAGGCTCCCCAGCTATAAATATGCTGCTTTTCCACTTCCTTTTATCTGCACAGTGAAATAATGTTTTTCCCCCTGCTGCAATAACCACCATCCAACCCTTTCATGAATGCCCTTTATGTCCTTTAGCATTTTCAAGGCTGCTTTGCTTTTTTTTTTTTTTTTTTTTTTTTTTTTTTTTTTTTTCCTTTCCTCCTGCTGGAGAAAGTAAAAGGGTTTTATTAGTTGTATTTTTAATTCCTGTTCATTGGTGGGGGGAAGGAGAAGAGAGGACAGTAATGGTGCTCTGATAATGCAGCTTCCAGGAGACAGGGAAGAGAGAGTTGTTTGTTCAGAAATTCTGCTCCATCCATTTGTGCTTCCTAGGAAAAAGGCAGCTCATCCTTTTCCTTCTCTTCTCCACTTGCCATGGCTCTCTCTCTCCATGCAAGCCTTCACCACCACACCAAAAACCAAATTCAAGTACAGTGAAATGGGAATGGGGCCCTGGAGTCCACTCTGGTGGCCACCACAAGGCACAGGAAGGGCTGGATCAGAGGGCTACAGCTCATCCATGCCTGACACCAGCACTCCTCCTCTCCTGACCCTCCCCAAGACTTTCCACCTCTCCCCACGGGCAGAACCTCACTCACTCCCTCGTGCAGTGCAGGAATCCTCCAGCTCTGCCCCATCTGCCAGCCCCTGGGAGAGGCCAGCTCTGGGGCTGGGAAGCACCAAGCCCAAAATTAGCACCTTGGGAATTGCCAGCTGCATCCTGTGGCCACAGGCATCCTTCACCTCTGCAAGCTGAAGCAATCTGGCCTCTCTCCTGCACACTCCCTCCTCTCCACACCAGGGATGCACAAACTGCTCCCAAATTCACCTGGGGGTGAAGCTGCACTTGGAGCACAGACCCAGAGGACCTCTCCTCCTGCCATCCCATTCCTGGAGACCTCCCAGAGAATGTCCCAGCAGTGGAAGAACCAGGGCCTTTTCCCCTTTCCCTGACATCCCTACTCCACGTGCCCACCTCGCAGCTGTGCAGGTGAGGCCAAACCCAGAAACACCCTGAGACATCTGAGCAGAAAATCTCTCCCTGTGCCAAGCTGAGCTCTGCACCCTCAGCATTCCCACACCTCCACCCCAGTTCTCCTTCCTGGAAACTGAGTCAGGTCCCTCCTTGCCAAGAGATAAGCTGGCAGAGGACAGGAGATCAGTACCAAAAGGGAAGAGGGATGCTCTGCACAGGCTATCCCTGGGTTTCCTCCCACCAGTGTTTCATGCTGGCCACAGCTCTTCCAGCCATTTCCCCTGAGTCCTCCCCTGGGATCATGAATTCCAAAACCCCACAGCAAGTCCCAGCAATAAGATGGAGACTTAGCAGAGTCCAAAAGCACATTCTTTCCTCAGCCTCCTCCCTCCTTATCTCTTTCCTCCCTCCCCCCAAAGCACTTTTAGATAAATGTTATTGGAACAATAAAATCCAGAACTTAAGCACAGGAGGGATGGAAGGAGGGTCTGCACTCCATGCCTGGGTGAGCAGACCTGACAGAACAGAAAAACAGAGGAGAGCCCATGATCCCCTCTGGGAATAAAACCTTGGATCACTGCAGGCAGAGATCCCAGCACAGAGGCTCTCCTACAGTCCCACAAGTCCTGCATGGACTCACTCACCTTTTCAAAACTGATCACACCCAGTTCTGAGGCTTTTCTCTACTTCACCTACCTGGGGTGAGGTAAATTAAGCACATGAGTACATGAACTGCATCGTTTTCCACCAAGCTGCTCCTCCTGTGTGTTTATTTTGTGGATTTTCTTGACTCAAAGAAGGTGCTGAAGCCTGGCTTCTGTGTGTACCACCATCCCTGAGAACAGCAACACAGCTCAACAGGGTGCACGTTTTCTTGAGCACTGATCACACAGACGAGCCCAGGTCTGTGCAGCCCCAGCACAGCCATCCCACTCCCCTCCAGCTCCTCAGTGTGGGTGGCAGTGCCTTTCAGCCACCCCTGCAGAGCTCAGGATCCAGGGCCCAGAGGTGGCTGCCAGGGCACAAGTGCTGCTCCAAGGCAGGTTAATGCCTGAGGAGTTTCCTTCACCATGAGCACCCACCCTGCCATTCCCACATCCCAGGTTCCCCTCCCTGCAGCCTCAGCCAGCCCAGCCCAGCCAAACCCACGCAGCCACGGTGCCATTGATGGCATTTTGGCCATCCCAGCTCACATTTCACCAGGCACCTGATTTTAGCCCTTGGCTTCACACAGAGCAGTGGTGCAGGTCCTGCCTGCTGTCCAGGGGCTGGAGCTGTCAGAGAGAAGTGTAGGTGGTGGCCTGGGGTTGCTCAGAGAAATGGATCTTCCTCGAGTCACTGTGAGTCACTTACCCAGGGATAATGGTTACAGAATCCCAGAATAGCTCAGGTTGGAAGGGAACTCAAAACTCATCCCATTCCAACCCTGCTGCCTTGGGCAGGGAACCTTCCACTAGACCAGGCTGCTCCAGTCCCCACCCAAGCTGGTACTGAACGTGCTGTCCCACAGCTCAGCAGCTGGATGTGCAGAGATCCAAGGGGGAAAAACATTTCCTAAACACAGAGTAGCTCCTTCTTCAGCTGTGCCCACAGCCACAAACACCACACAACAGCATCCCCAAACCCAGGAGAACAGGGCTGTAACCCCAAAAGTGCTCATCCCAGCACTCCCAGTGCAGCAGAACTGGGGCTGCACCCAGGCCCAGCCCTGCCCACACACACCTTACCTGGCAGTGCCCAAGCGCTCCCCATGGGAGGCTCCACATGGAGAGGGAGGCAGGAGGCAAGGAGACAGAGCTGGTTCCAAATGTTCCACTCTTTATTTGAAGTTTTACATGCCACCAGCGTACATGAAAGTTGCACATCCAGAACTGGACTCACCACGAGGACAAAGGGCCAGATGCAAACACAAGTGTCAAACGAGCGCACGGACGGAGGAGCCGAACCCAGGAGCCTGCAGGGACCTGTGGCCAGGCTGTCACCCTGATGGCACCTGGGGAGTCAGAGATGAACCCCCAGTTTTAGTACCACCTCCCTTTGCCATCTTCAGAGCTGTGAGCTGGGTCTTCTCTCCTCACGTGGCACCGTGCCCTTTCAAGGAGCTAAAAAGAATTTTTGGTAATATCTCTACCAGAATTGGGGGTGTTTGGAGACCAACTGCCCATTTAATGCTTTCCTGAATTCCCCTTTCTATCAATGCCAGCAGTTTTTACAAGGAGAAACAATTTCCACCCGCTGTTTAAAGGGAGAGACGACAGAAATAGGGACTCTTACACTGACATTTTATTTTCAAAGAAAGTTTTGATAGAAAAACATTTTCCCCAGCAGCCTTGGGCAGGGAGTTGCAGCTTCCACTTCAAAGGACAAACTTCAAAAACAAATCCAGTGTCCTAATGGTTTTGTGCTACATTACTTAATTGTCATACAGCTAATTAGCAATGCCTGATTTCACATTCTCTGTACATAGATGAAGTTCACAAAAGAAGGGGCTACTTAAAAGAATAAATAAAACAAGGCACCAGGCAGCCAGGCTCCGACAACATTAACATAAAATGTTACACTTTACTATTTAAAAAACTGAAATAAAACCCCCGTCATGATTAAACCTATATTGATCTGCCTTCCTTCAGATCTCAGAGCTTTGGATCTCTGCAAGGAAGGGGGGAGAACACAACATGGCAAGCGGGGGCTTAGCCTGTGCCTCTGTGTATGTATTTCACCAGCGTGCAGCAGAGATCTTTAAAATTCTAATTATTTCCCTATCACCAAGTAAGATTGGGATCAATAGATAGTACAGACTGACCCCTTTCCTCCAGTGTCAGGGGGAAATTAAAAAAAAAGAAAGGGGAGGGCGAACTGAGAGCGTCAGAGGTCAATGCCACAAAACAATAGATATTGATGTCTCCATTCATTTCAAGCAGCGGAAAGGTCAATGCCTCCCTTGCTTCATGTTTTATGGCTGAAATCCTGCTGCTAACAGCAACAATGTTAGTAGTCAGACCTCATCCATCCTTTTTTATTATTATGATTATTTCTAACCAGGTTAGCCATTTTGAAAATTTGACGAAAGCTGGGAGCAGCAGTGGGGGGCTGGGTAGGAGGAGGAGAGGGGGAGCTGGCCTGGAAATTAATGGAAGAGATGGTTTCCATTAGTTTTCCACTCTCCCTGTCCCCCTACCTGTGCCCCAGTTTGTCCCTCACTGCCCCCTAAAAAATGAAAAGGGCCTGAGGCACCATCCCTTCACTATTAATCATTATTCCCCGTACAACATCCCAATTGGTTTCTATGGAAATGATTCTCCTGCTGGAGTACCCTGGCTGCCTGTGCATCTCAAAGAGGCAGGAGAGCTGCAGTGGAAGGAGATCGTGCTCTGCAGCACCCAGCACAGCTCCTGCTGCTCTCCCAGCTTTGGACACTCTGCTGAGACCAGCCAAGAGGGAATTGCATCCCCCTCAGTCAGGTGAAACAACCCTTCTGCACTGGTTCACTCCACCAGCGGGAAAGTCCCAAATTTCTACAGCCCTATCCTAAAACAGCCCTGCTGGAAGAAAGCACCAGCACCTCACAGGGACTGTCCCACACACCTGCCCATCATCCCACAGCTCTGAACATCCGTGTGAGGGGACAGGTCCTGCTGTGTCCCTGGGACCCCACACGCCTGGCAGAGGAGGCAGTGATGGGAATTAAACCCCAGCGAGGGGGGCTGTGGCTCTGCTGCTCTCAGCCCACACCAGCCCCAGCTCTGCCCTCTGCTCCCCAGCCTCACCTGGAGGGGGGCTTCAGCACCTGGGGAGCCTCCTCCCCTTCCACCAGTGAGCAAACGGGCCAAGCCTCAGGATGTGTGTCTGGCTTCCAGAGTGAGATCCATGACTCCATCCTGCCCTGCCTCCTCTCACTCCCATCTTCTCCATCTCCCTTGATGGAGCAGTGACCACAGTCAGAGCTCTCCTGATGGGACAGACTGTCACCACACAGCCCCTTCTCCTAAGAGAGCAGTGGATACACTGCCATTTCCTAAAGAGACCATGAAATCAGCTTTGCAAACAGCTGAGGAAGCAATCCTTTAACCTACACTCCTAAGAAACCCACGGGAACACAGATGACTGAGCCCCTCTGAGTTCCCCACACCAGGGTCACTGCAGACCCTCCCAGCCTGCAGGAACCAAATGCCACTTTGCCAAACAAGACTTTGGACATGAGCAGAGCAGCAAACTACATCGAGTTTTACACAAGAACAGAACTGTCCCAGAATATCCTTCTCCCACAGAACCACGGACACTTTGGGGGTGGTCAAAGCAAAGATTTCTGCTGCAGTTCCCAAAGACTGGAGTTCTGCTTTGGAAGGCAGCAAGGAAAAGCCAGCAGGGACTGGGATCCTGCAGAGGCACTCCCTGAGAGAAGGGCACCTTCTGGAATTGAATTCATTTGTTTTAGACTATGGACAGCAGCATCAGCAGGCTCAGAGATCACCTCCTTAAATGCTCACAGATAGCAGGAGGGAGATTTCTGGAGAGACGGGGACAGAGAAAAGGAGGGGGGATTTCATATTAAATAAAATCCAGGAGCAGAACACCCCTGTCTCTGCTCCCCTCTCTTCCTCTACAGCTGCCTGCCTGAGTGCTGAGTGGGCTCTGAGTCCCATGCACTGCTCTGCTCAGAACATATGGAGCTGTGTTTAATAGCCCAGCTCTGCCAATTGGGTACTATTAGGGTGGGTTCTTTTCCCAGTGTAAATGTTGCAGAATATAAATTGTAATTAACACCGATGCCAAAATAGCACTTAGAGAAAATAAGCACATTATTAACATCTGGTGAATCCTGCCTGGAGTGCAAAAGCAGCGGAAATTCTCTCTCACCATAAGAGGATTTGTAGTACAGATATCAAGCACTGGCCCGGAGTTGGGGAGCTGGGGGTGGAAGGAGATTTTAGCTCTTTATTACTATTTGGGATGCTACCTTTATCACCTGTGGGTGACCTTTCCTAACCCTGCTTATAACTGGCAGCATCACCAGGACTTGTGACCCACTTGCACGAATTCAGATGCTCAAACATCATATCCCTGGCAAGAGAATATCAGCACTATAAAACATCCCTGGCTGCTGCTCCCATCCAGCAGCACACCAGGCAGGTGGATCTGGATTGCCAAGCCAAGTGTACAGCACGTTCCATCAGGTGACTGCAACCCCAAGAGCAAAGGTTTAACACCAGAATCGAGCAGCAGCTGGTTTCTGCACACCACTGTCCCCCAGTCCAGGTTTTCCAGAGGAACAGGAAGAGGTGAGCTGGCAGCACTGCCAAGCTCCTGCTGATGCCACAGCTGTTTATGCAGGGGAAATCCCCGCTGAGGGTGGGAATGGCCTCGCTGGAACCAAACATCAGGATTCCTTCACAGGACTGAACAGGTTCCCTAAGGCACCAGAGAGCTCCTGCCACACCCTCCACCTTCCCTCTGCCCTGAGGCCAGTGGCACAAGCAGGACAAAGGAACTTTGCCATTGCTTCCAACAAGGAGGAGAAAGCAGCTTAGCAAACATCCTCTGCCCAGTCCTGCTAGTTATCCCAGGGAAAAAAAACGGACAAAAACCAGGCAGAGCTGAAGGGGCCTGAACTGGACAGAGCAGCAGCTCGTGTTCCTGCTAAAAAGCACATTTGATGTGCTGAAAAGAGGGAGAGAAGAGAGGGAGAAGGGGATTCAAAGAGGTGAGTAATATGACAAGAGGTAGAAAGAACGACCTCATGGGGGAGAGTGGGAGGGGAAACAGCAGCAGGAGCAGGGCAGCAGCCCCTCACACTCAGCTGCAGGGAGCTGAAGCTGAGGCAGAGCCTCAAACACTCAGGGAGCGCTCACAGCTCAGCTGCAGCATTCCCAGGGGAGCACGAGCTGGCCTCACCATCCTGCTGCATTCCAGAGGCTGTGCTGGCTCCCTGTCCTCAGAGGGGAAGGATGAGAGCCTCGGGAAAGACAGCAAAGCCCCAGGGGTTGGTCTCACAAGGCACAGACCTGTGCCAGCAGAGCCTGACACTTACCTGCTCTTTGCTGTAACCTCTCTGAGCACGAGGGTTAGCACAGCCTGGCTCAAGATTTACACCTGTGGGACACAATTCCAGGCAGGCTCACACGTAGCTGGATTGGAAAGTAAGGACACAAAGTCCTCCAAGGCTGGGAGATGCATTTTGTTCTCAAATCTATCCCATCCCATCAGACCAGGCTTCCTACGAACATTGAGGGCAGAAGAGCATTTGGGAGAGGGCATTTTGAGTAGGAAATGCTGACAAGGAGATGGGCACATCATCTTTGGACGACTCTGGGCCTCCCCAGAAAAGCAGAGCTCAACACATTCGGGTTTGGGTGAAGTTAGAACAGCTCTGGTCAGCAGCTGCTTTGCAGAAGACAGACCTGTATGCTACCAAGGAAAATTCTGCCACCCAGACTTGTAGCTCCAGGAATTTCTAACTTGGCTTTTGGTACAGCTGTCTGATGCTTTTAAAAGTGCTCAGTAAATAAGGCAATATGAAAGTGATCCAGACCACTACTGATGCCTGAGGAGGTTCTGTGGAGCAGAGAAGCTGACTGAAATCACACTGTGAAAATACTTCATAACATCTCTAAAATTAGCATGAGCTCAAGGCATGGGATAGAAGGACAGAACTGGAACACTACATTCCCATCTACACTGCAAGACAGACTGCACATAAATCAGATCTGAGCCTCAACTTATTCACTGTAGGCACCATCTACCCTAGGACAAGGATTTCCAGAAGAGCTGAGAACTTCTTCCATCAGACCAATGGAAACAGCACCAGCAGGAACATACCATGGTCAAGGTGTTAATGACCTTAATTTGCTATTAAAAAATAAAGAGTCCTTGTGGTACTTCTCAGTCAAAAAAAAAAAACCCTTTAAATATCTGTGACTGCACGTGTGTGACTACAAATGCCTATTTGTAACATAGAAAAGATGTGATGCACTTCAATTGAGCAACACATTTTCGTGCCTCTGAGCTGGCCTAGGCTTTCTACTTTGCCAAAAACAGACTGAAGCAAAGAATGATTTCCACCAAAACCACAAAGCACACTGCCAACGTACACAGGGGCCCTTGGGACAGACACCAGGGGACACAGGGGAAAGAGCATTGTTAAGTCAGTTTCTCTTACCTTTAACTTCAGTGAAATAACAAAAACAATTCATATTAACCGCAAGGAAACACTCATCAGATTCCACAAGCCTTTGAGACATGATTTTCAGATGCAAGCAATATCCAATAGATGTTTCCCCACTGCAAAGAACCAGCTTTTTTTTTTATTTTGCAATTGCACCTGGTTGAAGTGATTGTACAGCATCCAGTGAGGTGGCCAGGAGCCGAGGATGGGAAATCCAGGCCAACAAGAAGCTGCTCCATGGGTTCACACTGACTTGTCCTTTCCATGCTGTGGCAGTTACCACCACAAATTGGGAGGTTCCTCGGCCACTCTGCTTTTAAACAAGGTAATTTCATCCAGGTGCCTCATGGGGACATCTCTGATGACCTCTGTCAAGTCCTCGTGAAGCAGAGGGAAAATGACGACGTTTAATGCAGGGCGTTCTGCCTGGAAACTAAATCAGACACAGGTTGTTAGCCAAGGAAAAATACCAGTTCTCCAGGGCAAGGGAAAGGGATGGCCTGGGTATCCATCATGCAGGATGGGGGCAAGGAAGGGATGTTCAGAGGAGGCAGGAGGGGCAGCTGGAACTCCAGGTCTCCCACTCTTCCCTCTCTGTGTCAGCAGGGAGCTCAGGCTGCGTTTGCACCCCTTTGCAGTGAGTCTGCCAAGCTGCCACAAGCCCAAATTGCACCTAAAATCGGGAGGGAGGAAGAAGTTTTAAAAAAATTAATTAAAAATAAATCAAGACAGGTAGGTATTTTAGAGGATCAGAGATCCCAAGAGCTCTGCCCAAGCTGGGCAAGGTGCTCAGCGATAACAATTTAAACCACCTGCAAACCAGAGGCAAGTTGCAGAGCCATTAGGAAAATCAGGCCAGAGCAATGTCAGGCATTCCCTCGGGGCTGAGCCTGGGATTATCACTTCAGGCTGGGTTGTTCTGCATGCAGAGTCTACACTCTGCAATTAGAGCATAGGCAAGTTTAGAAAGCTCAGATGTGCAGATAAGCATTTAAGTGTGCTCACACTCACACACTGCAGCCTTCTTTTCAATCCAGGCTGCAGAGCAAAGGAAGAGATTTGCACAAGTTAAAGCCATTAAATAATGTAGAAAGAACCGTACAGAAAAAGCCCAAGTGCCCACCAGCAAGTACTTTACATGACAGCAACCTGTGAGGAAGAGAAATGGTGTTACTCAGTGCAGTGTAACAAGAGTTCAGTCTTTTAAAGCTGGGGGGGGGGGTAAAACTGTAGCATAATTACCCTTAAGAGTTACACCTTAAGATGAAAAAGATTTGTGACTCTCAGTCCTGTGCCACCAAGGTGTTTCCTCTGAAGGGAGTGACAAGGAGCAGTTCATTACCACTCACGAGGAGGCAGAGTCACACTGGCAGCACCAATCCCTGGAGGCTGAACCAAGCTGTGTTGGGCCCAAAGAGAAGCTCTCTGCTCGACAGACTTAGACAGGTGTGTGCCTGGAAGATCCCCAGCACATCTCTAGCTCTGAAATGGCCAGATTTCTGTCAAACAGTGAGGAAAGGTTGGAGATCCAGCTGCTGGAAGCAGACACGAAAATCCCAGGTAGCAATGCAGCCAGCTGAAGAAAGCAACACGAGAGACTGGCATTTCCTGGGAGACTGAAAGGACATTCCCATCCACAAACAATTTGGAGCAGAGCTGCCAAAAACAGCAGAGAAACTTCCATTCCCAGGCTAGCTGCTCAGTCTCGGTGGGTTGAATTAATTTGCCTGAACCTAAGTAGCTGCAGGAATAAGAATTTCCAGCAACAGAACTACCTGGGGCAATTTTATATCTCTCTGCATCACAGACCTGCCCTTCATGCCTCATGCCTAAGGGCTGGCAGAAAAGGACACGGCTCCCTGAGCAGATCTGGGGACTTGTGTCAGAGCTGTGCAGCTTCTTACTTCCACAGCACTGCCCTCAAGAAATCAACCAGCAAATAACTGCTGATCTGGGAGGCAGCTGGTAAAGTCTGCAGTGAAATCACATAAAATACAGCCAAATGTCTCTTTGATAGTCCCTGCTCTGCCTCAGCTCTTCGTGTTTCTTATCCAACACCACAGTCCTGCAGAGAAAATCATGTTAATAGACCAAGTTTACTGAAGTTCAGCAAAGGAAGAAACTGCCATCTCCCCAAGGGAAAGAAACTGCTTCCTTCTTTGTGTATAGACTCTCCCAAATTGGACCCGAGTGCTGCCTTCTCACCATGTACAAAACTGTAGTTTATAAGCAGCTTTTACATGTAGCTATAAAAACAAGAACCCAGACAAGTTTACATGATGAACTGCCACCGAGACAAGTGAAAAACCCCAACGCAGTTAAGTGTCCCTCCTAAAGAGGCTGGGTTTATACCAGGGGTTTGAACTTGATCTTAAAATAAAAGGAAAAAAAAGAAAGCTTTGTAATTTTCTCCCCCCCTCAACAGGAAACTGTATGTTACTGCAAACCTTGTAAATTCCATACCCCAGCAAGTTGACGCCGGAGAATTCTTTCCATGTACAATTTGCGTGATTTAAGGAAAAAAAAAATCAAATGCACATGGTTCACTATTATTCTCAGTTAAATGTGCGTGCAAAGCCTCTCCTTTAACTGCCTGTTAAAAAACACCCTGATTTTAACGAGCAGCTGTCATAATGTTAAACTGGGATTAGCAGTTCCCAAAAGCAGCCTCCCTCTGCAATCCATGCTCCTTTAGTCCTTCCCCGGAAGGCAATTCCTTTCTTCATACACCTGTCCAGGTGGGCTAGATTAACTGAGAGGCACTTAGAGCACTACTTCGAAAGGCCCCAGGCATGGGGAGGAGATAACAAGAAGGGGAAGAGAGTGAGTTAATGAGTTGCAGAACAGCTCCTGTAATCTTCTTGAGGGTTCTTTCCTCATTCCACACCTGGATGGACTTCAAACTCCATCCACCTCTGCAAAGGCATGGCTTGTAAAATTAAAACCCAAAGGACAGAAAGGATGTTGACCCGGGGAGACAAAAGAGCTGCAGTTTCAGACATGAAGCCCTGCTTTTTTTGGTTTGGGTTTGTTTTGTTTTTTTTTTTTTTCAAGGGAAAAAAGCCAAGGATATGCTTGCCTGCTCTCTCCTACAAAACCTTCAGACTAAACTCATCATGATTAATTAAATGAAAGCAAGTTTTCTAGGCAACTGACTAGCAGCCCCTTCACAACAGATCCTTTAATCAGAAACAACCACTGGGATAACAAAGAAAACACCTCCCTCCCCCCCATGTATATTTTCCAGCATAACCTCTGGTCCAGCAGAATCAACACCAAACCAACCACCACCCAGCAGGAATTTCCACAAGGAGGTTTCTGAAGTGTCCTCACGTGGATGTGGACACAGAGCAGACCTGGCCTCAGCAGCTGGTTGGAATCATCCACAGAGCTGGGAAATGAATGGTGAAGCACACCTTGTGCCACAAATTCCTCCTGGCATCAGCATCTCTCAGCTCTTAGATCTTGAACTGGTTGTATGTGGATGAAAGGGTTAATGATGCTTTGCTATTTGTCTCCAGAATTCTCCCAGAACAGGTGTGGACTGGACTCAGTGAGGTTATTTTCAAGTGAACAGCTTGGTAAATAGCCTAACACTACACTCTCAATTACTTCCAATCACTGTGGCAGGATCCAATATGTAGGTCAGGGACAAAGTCAAAAAGAAAGAGAAAAAGTCTAAAGCAAGGCTGCACTTTGATCAGATTTCCTCGATTTTAGCAAGACAAAAGAGTCCCTCCCTGGAATGCAGTTATCTCCTGGCAAACATTGACATGCCTCTCCAGAGAGGACAGTGAGTCCCCAGGAGATTCCACCTGCTGATAGATCCAAAGGGTAGCCCAAAGCCATGGGGGATCTCACCAGCCAGCCTGGAAAGATGGATTACACCCCCCCTGCAGCCCTCTGCACCACAGACCCTATAAGGTGACAGCTCTCTGCATTAGGTGCTGCTCAAACCTTTTTTACTTATAAGGAAAGGACAAGGCAGTATTTGGGGCTGAAGAATGTTCTTCCCCTTGAGATTTCCACAGAAACCCAAGGAAAGTCCTAAGCCAAATCAGACATTTCAGCACATCCCACTTCACAGGGGCTGGCAAGCAGGACCGAGGGCATGCAAGGAAGGATAATTAAACACTGCCAACAAAAGCAGCACACAGCAGATGAAGTGAGGAAATACAGTGTATCAGGAATGGATCAAGGGCAGATCTCTGACCTCCACAAACCAAGCTGAGCTTATTGAAGAAGAAGCCCTAGAGAAGGAGAGGAAGGAAGGAAATGAGAAGTTTGATTTGGGGGAACAGAGCAGATGTGGACTCTGGTTGGCACAACTCTCACAAATGTAAACCAGTCTCTGCTGCAGTCACACACCTTCTCCCCTCTCTGTTTTGACCTTCCCCACAGGCTGATGAGCTGTTTTTGGAGAGGCACAAGTTTCTCAAGAGCAGAAGTTTCAGACCAACTCACTTTTTGCCCCGTATGCAGCTTTCTCATCCACATGCACAAAGCCCTCTTAATCCTCTGCTAGGCACAGCCTGTTTTTACTGGAAGACTTGCTCACACCTCGAAGTTCAAGTGTGGCATCTGTCTTGAAAGCTTCAGCCAGCATACCTGAGCCAGCCTGGAAACTCCCTTCCTGCAGCATGGCACGGTGGAAGGGAGGAAGTGCCAGGACAAGCTGGAGCAGCTGGCACTCACACTTTTCTCATCTTCTCAGGGAAGGCCAGGCAAACACTTAAGATTTGTTCCACTGGCCGTGCCCTGACCTCAGCACCAAGGAGCTGAAAATTTCTCCTTGCTTACAGTGACTGCCAAAGAAGCTTCTGCAGGAGCATCTTCCAAAGAAGATTTGGCCTCGCCGAAGAAACTGTAGGTGGGATTCTCCCAGGCCCCTTCTCCTGGGAGCAGGGAGAACCTTTGCCTCCCACTCATCCCTCAAAAGCCTCTCAGGGGGTCCAAACCTTCCCCACACTGACTCTAAAGCAGATCCATTCTCTAGTGCCATTCTCCCTTCCAGCCCTGTCAGAGTGCCAGTGCTAAGCAGACTCTATTTCCAAACCTCAGAAATGGACTTGAAAAGTTCCCAAGGAAAAATGTTCACATCCCTCTGATTGCTCTTAACTCCACACAACGAGATATTTTTGCTATAAAGTGTTTTCCTTCAGGGGTATCTTCCATCCCTTCGTGCCTATGTAGACAAACCAACATCCTCCCACAGCTGCTGATTTTTCCACACTAAGTCCCATCACTGCAGTCTCCAACCTGAGACCAAGGGGTGTAGATGGGACTCTGGAAATCACTCACACACATCACTGCCAACTCTCCCATTATCCTCAACGCAGCTTCTTCATTTGCCACTGCGTTGAGCCACAGGGAAGGAGCAATAACACATCAGACTCATCCCGAGCCGAGGCAAATTACATCTCTCTGCTGTGGTTTCCCTGTAAGGCATGAATGGCACTCTGCTACTTCTCCTGTGAGCTGAGGTTTGTATCAAACACGCCTGCAGACTGAGGTTCCTATGTTATTTTGCCAGCTGAACTCTGCATCACTCAAATGTGACCGGACAATTAGAGGGGGAGGGAATAAGAACCCAAAGAGCGATGCCAGAGCGCCCAGGACACGTCCTAGGGGAGTGCTCTGCCAGAGCAAGCTGAAAGTTATTTCCTAATCTCTTCCACAAATTAAAAAGCTACTGCAATAACTGCTCAATTAGATTTATTTTACTATGGAAATGCTTTAAAGCTGCAGTTAATGCTTCCGTTCAGCCTTTTACACCCTCATGAAGAGAAAGCACGACAGTGCTATTCCAATATTATTTCTCAGCCAAGAGAGAGAGGACAATCCTTGAAAGTTATTTCATGCACAAACCAATCTGCCCGCTGAGGAAGGTTTCAGAACTGAATTCCTTTGAAAACACATGAGCTGGCAGTCAGAACGAGGCATTTGGGTCAGCCACAGGAATGCATTTAAAGAAGGGGGTTTGTGAGTACCCCCAAAAGAAGATAAATTAATATGGCAAACTGGGGATGGTCCCACAAGCCCTGCTGGCTTGTAAAGTATTTAAACCCACCCATAAACAACATCCCTGGTAGAAGCAAAGGTGTCTGGGCCACACCTCATGCATTCAACCTTGGCCAAGCCCGCCAAGGAATCCTTGGGCAACACAATCTGACAAGGATGCAGTTTGTTATTCAGTCTGTGACAGAATGATTCAGGGGTTTCCAAGAGCAGGAAATGAAACAGACAATGAAAGCTTGAGCAGGATGCTAATGATTCACTACACCAGCCTGGTGATACATTAAGTCCTCTGCAATCCCACTTGTGCAGGGCTGGAGCCCTCGGCACGCTGGGGCTGCCGGGGTGGGATCAGCAGCTCTGGGACCAGGAAAGCCAGCAGCGCACAGACAGGGACTTCTTCAAGGTCAGAAGGAAGACGAGGTGCTGAAGGGATGCAAAACCAGCTTGAGAATCTTGAATGAGCCCTAGGTGCTCACAGCAGCTTTTTGCAGTGCAGCAGTCGGGTGGGCAGCACAGGAGTGACGCTGCAGGACTGGGCTGAATTCAAAGATCATCTTGCAATCACCTACTGCCCCTAGAGCCCCCTCCAACCCCCCAAAAGGGATTTTATGAGCCTGAGACCACAATGAGAATCCAGGTGAGCAGAAGGATGCAGGGATATCCAGGGCAAGGGGGAATACTTAGCCCTGAGGTGTGCAAAAACTCATCTGTGATAACAGCCCTGTGCTAAATGCCAGGAGAGGGACTGGCTCACTCAGCACTTCCCAATACTCCATTTCAGCCCTGTGCTCCCACCTGGAAGCTCTGTTTCTGCAACTGAATCTCAGGAGGCTGCTTCATCCCTTCAGCAAGCTCACAGCCACACAGGGACACTGGAATCAGCAGTTTAAGAAAAAGGGAAGATCCAGCCAAGAGTTTCACATTAAAAAAGGACAATAACAAACATAGGGAAATTTAGGTAATGCTACAGAAGACAAGAAGATCTAATTTAGACTGAAAGCTCTTCCTAGAAAGTGGCAGGAATGTTATCATGAAAGTCACTTCAAACCAAGCAGTGCTCATACCTGACACAGGCACAAGGCAGGGCAAGTTTGTGCTTCTCTTCCTCGGAGTTTGGATCCCCAGAACAGTGAGATTGTCCTAAATGAGAAAAATTCTCTGCACTTTCCAGCACTGGTTAAGCCAAGAGTGACCTGAATTGTTTAGGGTGGAAAAGCCCCCTAAGACCAAGCCCAGCCATTCCCCCAGCACTGCCAAGGTCACCACTGAACCACAACCCCAGGTGCCACATCCTCATCACTTTTAAATCCCTTCAGGGATGGAGATTCCACCACTGCCCTGAGCAGCTTTTATCAGTGCTTGAGAACCCTTTTGGTGAAGGAATTGTTCCTAGTATCCAACCTAAACCTCCCCTGGCACACCTTGAGACCATTTCCTCTTGTCCTGTCCCTTGTTCCCTGACAGCAGAGCCTGACATTCCCCTGGCTGCACCCTCCTGCCAGGGAGTTATGGAAAGTCAAAAAGATCTCCTTGAGCCTCCTTTTCTCCAGGCTAAACACCTTCAGCTCCCTCAACTTCTCCCCATGGATTTGTGCTCCAGCCCCTTCCCCAGCTCAGTTCCCTTCTCTGGACACCCTCCAGCCTCTCAATGTCCTTCCTGAAGTGGTGGGTCCAGAGCTGGACACCTGGCTGCACCCTCCTGCCAGGGAGTTATGGAAAGTCAAAAAGATCTCCTTGAGCCTCCTTTTCTCCAGGCTAAACACCTTCAGCTCCCTCAACTTCTCCCCATGGATTTGTGCTCCAGCCCCTTCCCCAGCTCAGTTCCCTTCTCTGGACACCCTCCAGCCTCTCAATGTCCTTCCTGAAGTGGTGGGTCCAGAGCTGGACACAAGACTCAAGGTGTGGCCTCACCAGTGCTGAGCTGCTCAGGTGTTTTGCAAAGCCATTTGCTGGAGAGAGGTTGGGGAACAGGGGCAGAGAGCACAGGAGAGAACTGCCACGTCCCCACTCTGACCCCACAGCTCTTGGGGGATGCTGCCCCACAGCCCCACACAGCCCCAGCCCATTCACCATCTCCCAGCAGCTCTCAGAGTCCAGCAGTTTACAACAGCACTTTTGGGAGACGTGAACAGCTGAGCCCAGCTGCCCAGCCAGCACCCCAAAACACACTCCAGCTGCACCATGGTTTTCCCCTTGGATTCCATTTCTATAAATCACAGCTCACCTCTACACCTTGACACTTTCTTTATGAAGAATCCCTAATGACACCATGTTCTCAGAGGGTTTTTGTTTTGCTTTGGGGTTTTTTTGTTTGTTTGTTTTTATTTTATTGTAGCTTTCTTGATCTTTTTCCAAGGTGTTTTTCCAAGGACTTTTCACTGGCTTGTATTGTCTGGTGTTGTAGAGTCCTTGAAATCACTACAATGATAGGAGCTATCTAAACACTTCAGCTAAAACCGACAAAATTCTAAAGGCACATAGTGGAAAATAAAAATCTGTCCTTGAAGCCAAGGGGATATTTGCCCAAGCATTTCCCATCTCCTCTTCCAGCCTGTTTTCTGATGGCAAGGAAAGCACCAGGAAAGCAACTTCTCCTGCACATTTGTGAAGTGCCTGCTAACCCCACGTAGCTGTGCAAGCCTGAAGTCATCCAAATTCCTTGCCCGCAGGATTTTTGGGGCAGGGACATCCTGGCATATAAATACGATTATTTAGCACGCACCCCGTTGGTAAATGGTGGGACCTTCCATGGGTCACAGCTCCATCTACTGACTCTTCCACAAAATAACACCGTGGAAAAGACTGGGAAAGCTCCTCATCCCCTTGGACCTGCCTTTGGACACACGGGAGTGTGCAGGAATTTAGAAACAATCCCAGCACTGCAGCTCAGCCCAATATGGCAAAGCAAATTTACCTTTTCTGCAAAGAAGTCCTGGCACAGCGGCAAGTCTGGGGTCACACCTGAACCTCCAACCACAGGGCCTCAAATTGTGGTATTTTAGTGTTTGTGGAACTAGTGCTGCAGTGGTTTGAACAGAAGAGTTATTTAAACAGGGATAACACGTGCTTGGAGCTGAGCACTCCAGCAAAGTTTGGGTCCAAGCATAAAATGGAAAACATTGTGTTCATTGGATCTGCTGCTATCTGAAGTGTGGCAGCAGCTGAGCACCATGTGATGGGGGGAAAAAAATGTCAATTTACACAGAAACTGAGACTAGACCAACGTCACATGTGAAACCTGAGGAAGATCAGGGAAGTGGATATGGATCACTAGAGCCACATCTCCCACTCTAAGCACTACGCCCTTCTTATGTGCAGAGTATCTCCCTGAACCATAAAGGAGCTGCCCCCTCCCATTCACACTGAAAGAAAAAGAATAAAGAAAAACACTGCAATGATTTATCTGCCCAGAGGGAAACAATCTTTACAGTCTTCTCTGCAGCTCAGAGGAGACCTTGCCCTTGCAAGCCTCCTGTTTGCTGATGAGGCTCCAGATGAGCCCTGTTCTGCTTATTGTGTTTCATTGCAAAAGAGCCAGAACTGAATCAGAGGCTTTTAATGACTCAAATACACGAATTAGTTTGTCCCAAAAAGCAGCAAACTTCAACCAGAAACTGCTCGCCAGAAAGCTGGACACCACAGGGACTGGTTCAAAGCTGTCACAAGACTAAGAGACATGAGAACAACCTCTCTTTTCAGGCCAGTGGAACAGAAATACATAACACTAACCTCCTTTTACAGTAAAAAGAGACAGTTTGAGAAGCAGTTCAGGCTTTAAGCCATTGCTGTGATGCAGCAGATTTAATTCCCAAGCTCCCATCACCACACCCTGTATATTCACCATCTTCCAGTACAATTCCACAGCTGAAACCAGTGTGTTCCCCCCAGATAGATTCTGGCTTCTTCTGTTACCCAAACCCTCCTGTGCACCTACACTTGAAAAAGGACTGCCCAGCACTATATGGCATTTTCAAACCCTCTCAGCTCTACCTCCTGCAGCAAACTCTTGATACATGGCCAGCCCTGGGTCCTTCCCATTCCCACTCACATTTCTTCTCTGCTTTAGAGGCATTGGGAGAATGCGAATCACTTTGACCCCATTTTGCTGTTCAAAAATATCTCTCATCCTAAACAACACCATCACCACAGCCCTAAAACAGGAACTCTGACCCTCAGTAGGACCTGAAGAATATGGATCAATTGCCCCAGCTCCAGAAAGGGAGCAAACAAAGGCTCGAGGTCCCTCCTCTCACCTCCTCCCTCCCAACCACTCCCCGTGCTTCACACGCAGCATCCACACACATTCCAAACAAATGGAAAAAAATAAGCATAAATCCCCTTGTTTCATTCTGGCACAAGGACAGATAACTTCCAACTTGCTGCCTGGTGTAAAACTTGGGTTAAAGAGACACCAGCTGCACACTCTTAGAGGAAGCCATGCTGTGTCAAACGGAGCCATACCCACAGGTTTAAGCTCACACACAGATTTTACTGCACATCTCTCTGCCTTGGAGTAGCAGGCAAGAAGCAGTCAAGAACAAGTCAATTCCTGACCCCATCCCAAGGCACATTTGTGCAAGGATGAGAATGGGATTGCTGGAGAAGTCACGTGGCTAAAGACTCACTGATGGCTCATGGAAGACTCCAGGCTTTGCTTACACATCATCTTCTGTATTTTGTTTCTTCCATTTGATTACTAGAGACAGTTGCATGAGAACGGGATCTTTGTTGCTTAGGAGAGCATCTGCTCCCACTGCTTATCCTCCTCCTGAAGTCATAATCTTACATGACATCAAAATCGTTTCCAGAGCCACCAATTACAATGTCACAGAGGATTATGACTTCAGGTGTACAATTTGCAGAAGGAGCAGATGCTCTCTTCAGCAAAAAAAAACCCCAAAACCCAACCTTCAAAAAACCCTGTTTTCACACAAGTGTCTCTATTAATAAAATACAAAAGAAGAAAATAAGTTTGACAGCCAGAACTGTAGCTAAATATAAAAATAGTTTTTAACATTTCCACCAGGCATCAGCTGCTCTTTAGAAAGTTCCCAGGGTTTAGATTTTAAAGAGGTAGAGAATGTAGTGAGAATCAGTCCATGACAGAGAAAAAGAGGGAGAAAAGACTGCAGAATGGTCTATTTCTGCTCAGTAAGTGGACATTAAAATTTTGGACAGCGCTGCAGCAGCACCTCAGAAGAGAGGGAAAATAAAAAATGGGAATTGCAGATTTCTGGTTCTTTCCAAGGATCCCCAAAGCACAACTGAAATCAACCCAGTAATGTTTTTACAGATATGAAGCCCTGTGTAAAACAAACTCAAAGAATCCTTGTCGCATCACAAGGAATTTACTCAGATGTTTCCCTCCCAGAAGGACACAGAGGCTTTCAGAGGCAGCAACAACCTCAGGAGCAGTTTGGTAGGGAGCTAATATAGTCACAGCCTTCTCTGGATTTGATCCACGGAAACAAGCCAAGTGTAATAAGTTAGTTTGAAGCTGGAGGAAGGCTGGGGGGGAGGAGCACCCTTTAGGATGTACTAATAACGCCGTGTGATTTGAAATTTTTATTAGAGCTTAACAGGGCACAGCAACAGTAGGCGACAAAGAAAACAGGCTGAAGGTGGGGAAATAGCCTCACAGGAAAAAAAAGATAATAATGGAAAGTCTGCTTCATGGGAAATATTTTGTAAGATGACTGCCATTATTAGAAGATTTCCAAATGCCAAGCGTAATTAAAAGCTCTCTTTTCAAATGCAGCTCACGGCTCACACACAAACGTTTCCCACCACGTGAGCCTCAGAACGCTGCAAGGGGCCAAGCAAAACGCATTTAAGAACTGCCAAACGTGCAAAGGCAGTTTGTACCAATGCTCCCCCCTCAAGCACCCTCCGAAGAAAAAACCCTTCACAACAACCCTTTAAAGGCTTTGAATTGGCTGCCAGGGGATTATCAGTAAGTGACATTTACAAGTGATTAGAGGACAGAGAATTATCTCAGTCACTTGTGAGGAAGGAGGAAAGCTTCAAGGTCAAATCTCTCAGTACTTAAATGTCGGCAGATGTTTTGTTTACACAAAAAGTGTCATTTGATTTATGATGGAGCTTTGCATCCAGAACTTCAACTCGGCCAGCAGAACTGCAGAGAACATGGGTGGGAATGGAATCAAGAATTCATATAATACCTTCAAATATTTCACTGATTCACTCTTATTAAAGTAAGAGGCTGGCTTATGTGCCAAACAGTTACACATTACCTATTAGCTCCTTGGAACAAGAGCTCCAAGCCATATAAACCTTGGCAAGCCAGGGAACGGAGATAAATCTCCAACAGCTCCCGAAATCCCACATCCACCCTTTTCCGCACTCACCTCCGGACAATGGACTGCTGGAGATTTTTGCAAACGGTAAGAGATTCTCCCATAAACATGTGGCACATGATGACCTCAAGGCAGCTGGCCATGAATGACATCACTGCGTCAGACTGCAGGGTCCCGCTCCGGGAGACGATGCAAAGCCGCTGGAGAGAGGAGCAGTGACTCAGTGCCTGGAAGAACTGCGCGCCCGCACAGAAGTACGGCTGTTCCAGCCTGCAGGAATAAACAAAAACAACTCAATGGGCAATTCACGCCTGGGATGCTCTCAGACAAGAGGGAAAGACACAGCATATTCATGGGAGTTTGGCAAATGGACTGAGCAGTGTCTCCAGTCCTGTAGGACAAGGGCACAAATAGGCAGGAAAGCCCTAAACTGCAGAATTCTGGCGCCCACAGGGAGTAACCCTGGTTTTGCAAGTTTCCCACAAAGTATGGTGGGTAAGACAAGGAGCAGCTCCATTCTGGTCTTAAAAGCACAGCCTGGCTTCTGTAGCTGACTTCCACCAAGCAGGTGGTGTGGATTTAGGGACCTTCTGCTCCAGCGTACAACCACCCAAACTGGTCATGTCTTCAGTTTACTGCCTGGGGAGAAGCAGGCATGAAAAATACACAGTGCACACAGGCTGATGCAGAACTGGGGCCAACACAGCGACCACAACCAGCCCTGGCAAAGGATCAGAGCTACTGCTCTCCCACAGGAAGAACAACCATCATCAACCCAACCTTTACCTTAAACACCTGGCTCAGGGAAGAGAGACAGGATCCTCTATCACAGTGATCCAGGAGGACAATAAAATGATCCAGTGAAGCCACACCTGGCCAACAAGGGCTCTGTGTTTTACCCAACATAAACCAGCCTGCAGGGAGCAGAAGCTGCTTGAGCCTGTGCCACCAGGACAGTTCATCTGCTTAGTGCAGATTTACTACCAGGCTTCAGAGCACTTGGGGATCTCAGTCATTGGGTCAGGAAAGCCAAGAGCTCCAAGAAGGTTAATCCATTAGGTGATAACAAGCTGTCGGGCCCAATCTGATCTGGGTAATCTCTGCATAGGCTTTGTAGTATGCATGGGTATCTCAGCAACTTAATCCTGTTAATTGATAAATTCTGTTTCAGTCTCAGCCTGCTGTCGGGTGGCACTGCCTGAAGAGATCCTAAGAGCATATCTACACTTTGGGTAATAAGTTAAAATTCATGTCAAGAGAACGGGCAGCCGTTTCAATTTTTCAACATCATTACTGGGGCACTGCAAATTTAGGAGAAAAAGCACAGAATCTCCAGGATCCAGGTTTCCAGGCGAATCTCTGGGATGCACCAGCCACACCCGCAATGCCGCCCTGCACTCGCTAGATGGCAATGTTGCTTTGGAATAGCTCCTTAAACTTGTTCCTCAGCCTGGAAAACTGGGCAGGGAAAAATGGGTGGAAACAGCAGGGAATTAGTAAATCAAAAGGAAACTACGTTATCAAGAGGAAGTGCTAATTTCTAAAGCCATCTTAAGCCAATATAAAACCTTAGAGTTTATTCAGGGAAGAGGAGTGACAGCTTCCACCCAAATTCAGTACAAGGAGCAGCCCTGTTGCAGCCTTTATTCCAGGCTGCCTCCCATCTCTGTCGCTCCTAGCCTCCATTTCAAAGCCTCAGGAAGCTACAGGGCCTAGGATGAGCAAAGCAGCACTGCACACCCAAACCTCCTTCCCCAGCCCTCAGATCCTCCGTGGCTATTTACTCTCCTCAAGGTTAAAGACACATTCACATAACCCAAGACCTTGAGCAACCGAATTCCCAACAGCTGCCACCCCTCGGGTGAGAGACCAGCACACTCCTCCCCTATTACAAATGGGAAGTGGTGGAAAATGAAAACCCCCCTGAGGTGTTTTAGCCCCCCTGGCTCCCCTCACTATTGCAGTGGATCAGGGACAGGCACAGAAGCACCAGTCTCAGGTGATGAGCAGTAATTTCAGCCACAGTATAACTGTGACCTTGCTGTCTCAACTGCACAGCACCTTGGAGGCTTTGTGAACAAAGGGGGACAATGGGACTGACAGGTTCTGCAGTTTCACTGAAAGAGGCTGATTTGGGGGGAAAAAAAGAAAAAACCCATCTCTCTAAAGTGATAACATTTGTGTTCATATGGACTAGAAAAAGGAAACCATCACAGTTTCCTTTCACAAGCACATTTTGGCTACCATGAAGCTGCTTTGTGCACTCTTTAGGATCAGACCCTTGGTAGGATACTTGAAATCCTATCAGGAGAGGAACACCAACAGGACGAACTCTAAATCTGGAATGTTTTCAGTACATTATAAAGAAAACAAAAAATAAAGAGGTGAGATTTTAATACAAACCCAAGGCAGACAAATATCTCATTGGGAAACCCAAAGAAAACTCTACATTATCTAGACCATGTAGGAGTCTCTTCCTTCCTGGAAATTTAAGAGGTGTGCATGTACACAAAGCCAAAAAAATCAGCAAAGGCATGTAGTATTTAACCAGCCCTGACAAGCTGCTAGCTCACAAATAAGCAGCATGCACTTTTCCTTATCTAAAAGGAAGGCAGTCACAGCACTTTTTGCTCCTAAAACACTGGTTAAAGGGCATATCCTGAGCCCTCAAGGACAACATGCAGTGCCTTCCCATTCTCCACAAGTCAGGAAGGAAAATAGCCAGTTTTCAAGGCATTGCAACTACTCTGGACCGGAATACTTTTAATAGTAGCCACAATAAACCACACGTCACATTTCTGGAGATCCACAAACAAAATGGGAGATGTTCAAGGGCAGCCCCTCACCTGAGATCTCTCAAACACCTGCAGTGTTTCAGCATGTCCATGAGAGCAGACATATAGACCACCTTGCCCATCATGCCCAGGTTGGCCAAGGAAAGAGTCCGCAGGTGCTGGCACTGCAGCCCAATGCTGATGAGCCCAGAGCCCGTGAGAATATTTGGCAGCTGTGCTAAGGTGAGGCTCTGCAGGTAAGTCAATTGGCTAATGGCAGCCACCTCTGAATCCCCCACGCTCTGTGCCCGGACACAGGGAGGCAACGAGTTCCGAATTGCTGGCTCGTTGCGGGGCATGGCAGAGGAGAAACTGGACCCAATGATCTCCAAGGTTTCCAAAAATCTGAGGCTTCCCATCAGAGCCCAAAACACTGAAGACTCGATCTTCTGATTTGTCTGGTCCCCTAAGTTCCTTGGATATGTCTGTATCCCAATCCGAACTTTCCTTCCAAATGTTTGGGGCACCAAATTAGGTGTGGTGGGAGGCTTCTCCACGCTTGCACCAACATCTGTGATGGAGCAAACTGGTAGTGCTAATGAGAGCAGGTGCTTTAGCCTGGACAGGAGCTGGCACAGGTGGTTCCCTATGCTTTCAGAGCTGTGATGATGAGCTGCAGAGAGGTTCAGGTGTCTCAGGTTGCAGCAAGACACTACCAGGCTTTCCAAAATGCTGCTGTCAATGTCATCTTCTGCTTTCCGAAACAAGGACTCTGGGGCCAGGCAGTGAACGCAGCCACTGAGATTCAAACTGGTCAGGCTTTTAAGATCCTTCCCACCATTAATGACTCTCTGGATCAGGTGCCCACCAGATAAGGTGCATCGGCTAAAGCTGAAGTAGAAAGGGTTGTTGAACTTCAAGTGTTGCAGGAGCCCAGAGCCGTTAATCCAGGCTTTGGGCAGTTGTAAAGCATCCAGACGTACATTTCGGGCCATGGAGTCCAGGAGGTTTTTGGTGGCTCCCGTCTCTGCAAAGCTGCCGGGGGCAGAGATGAGGAAGGCGTGGAGGTTCTCAGGTGTCCGATCGCTCAGCACTGCCAGGTACAGCCTCACCACCTCCTGGTTGACGTAGCCAGGAGCCAGCCTGGCGTAGAAGATGCGGAGGTTCTGGTAATGGGGCACGTTGCTCTCGCCCACCATCAGCTGCCCCGAGAGCATAAACCCTTCCCGCGAGCGATCGAGGATCTCGAAGTAGAGCAGCAGTTTCTCCAGGCTGGTGCAGCAGGGCACGACGCCGTACGAGGGCGTGTAAAGGGTTTGCTTCAGCTCCGAGACGCGGCTCAGGGTGGCTTTGCACTCGCTGCTCAGCTGGCTGGCATCAAAGCCCGGGTTCACGTCGATGGCCAGGGAGCGCAGGTGCTGCAGCGTGGAGAGCATCTTGGAGAGCCGCAGGGAGGTGACGTGGCACCCGGACAGGTTCAGCTTCACCAGGTTCTTGCAGCGTGTGACGTGGTCGATAGTGGAGCTGGGCAGCCAGTAGCAGCCGGCCATGTTCAGCTGGTAGATCTCCTTTCCAATGTCCCTCATCAGCTGCTTGACTTTGTCTTTGTTTACCTGCGCCCAAACAAAACCACATTCAGTGAGAGACGCGGCAGTGGTGGGCACTGACTCAGTTTCCCAGCTGCAGATGGGGATAAGGGTGGATGGTACTTGGATTACGTGGCTCATCCAAAGGTTTGGGGATGGCAGCACAGCCTCAGAATTACCACACTGCTGGCAGCTCATCTGCCATGCTGTGGACTCTTGGGATTACACTTCCTTTTGCTTCTGCAGTTCTGCATTACAGACTGCTCAGCAGCTGAGAGTGGAAGGGAAAACCGCCTCAGTTTTCTACCAGCAAAGCCATTTCAGCAGAACTGGCTATGTGCAGCAACTCAAACTGAAAGAAGAATGTTTCCATTCTTCTTCATTCAGTTTCCTCTTTTGGAAATAAGCATAGGGGTTTTTTCCCTGCCTGCACTGGCTGATACAGTTCTCATTGAATATATCACCCTTCCTTCCCAAGCCTTGTTTTTGTTATAACATGCACACAATTTCTGGCTTTGCTGACTGCATGCCTGACAGCAACATGCACAAGATATTTTTGCACAACAACACAGAAAACATATTTTGGGAAAATGGTAACTTTAAGGTTATGTTTACTTTCATTTTACCTTCCAGAAATATGGAGAAGTTAAGTTTTCACTGACAGAACTTTATATAACTAAGGGAGCACAGGGCTGTTCTAACAAAGCATACTGGAAAATAAATGCTTTTATGAAACAGCTTATTGTGTATTTGATTTCAGACTTCAGGAGCAGTCTACTTAGGCATACACACTGGAAAGTTCTCCTTCTTGGCACTGTTTTTCAGAAGCCAGATTTGTCTTAACAGCTAACAGAAGAAGCAAGCTATTCTCCCCACCTTATAATCCTTCTGAAGCAGGACTGTATGTGTTAGACTCTTGTCAAGGCAAAGTGTTGCAAGTTTCCTGCAGGTTCTCCTGACATTGAGGACCAGGTCTGTGCAAGGGACATAGCTGAGGATGTGCAGAAGGATCTCATCTGAGAACTCCATCAAGTTGACTCCATTGCTTTCCTCCTCACTCTCCTCACTTACGACCTCCTGGTGGAAAAGAAAAAGAGGAAAAAGAAAAGGAGAATATGGAGGTAGCGCAAAACTTCACACGAAATCACGGTACTTCCACTTGGTCTTTCACCACTGGCGAACATTTCCATTCATTCTACTTACTTTGCAACTGGAAGAGCGACTGTCCATGATCCTTTCCTAAAAATACCACAGCAATCTCCTTCTACATCCTTCCTCCAAGCGCCACCCGTTTCAATAACCTTTAGAGTTACATAACCATGCATATATACATATATATACGGCTATATATATCTGTTTACACATCCAGACCCACACCACCACTGCAGCCCAGCTCTTGTGCAACACGCTCACGCCTTAACGGCGAAACCAGAGCCCAAACCGGCACTAACGCCAGGGCAGCTGCTGAGGGCAGCGCGGCTGCTCCGCCTCACAGCCCCCCTGGGCCCCCCGGACACACCCGGCGACGGCGATCCCGGTGTCCTCCCTGTCCCCGATCCCGGCTCCCGCCCTGAGGGCTCCGGGCTCCCCCAGCCCCGCAGCAGCCGCTGTTACCGGCGCCCCGAGGGGCCGGCGCGGAGGGGAAGCGGGAGGCGAGCAGAGCCCCACAAGCCCCGACTCACCTCTCCGCAGCGCAACATGGCGGCAGCCGCGCGGTCCCGCCGCCACCGCCGCCTCGCCGGGCCCCGCTGGCAGCGGCCGCGTCCCGGGCTCGCTCCCGCCGGCCCGGCCGCCTCACGGCTCTTCCGGCGCGGCCATGATCCGGTTCCGCGGCAGCGCCCGCCCCGCGCCGCCATCTTGAGCGCGGCGCGGCCGCGGCGCGGCGCCATCTTGAGGGCGGCGCCGCCATGGTGGGAGTGGCGGGTCCCTGGAGTCAGAGAACACCGGGGTCGCTCACGGTGGAAACGGCTCTGAGCTCATCGGGTCTAATCTTTGACCGATCACCACCGTGTGAACCAGAGCAGAGCACTGAGTGCCATGTCCAGGCTTTCCTTAAACGCCTCCAGGGATGGTGACTCCGCCACCCACCCGGGCACCCCCTTCCAGTATCTGACAAACCTTCCTGTGAAGAAATGCTTCCAGATGTCCAACCTGACCCTCCTCTGGCACAGCTTAACACCATTTCCTCTCATCCCGCCCATTGCTCCCTGGGAGCAGAGCCCGACCTCTATCTCGCTCCTGTCAGGAGTTGTGGAGAGCCAGAAGGTCCCCCTTGATCCTCCTTTTCTCCAGGCTGAGCTCCCTCAGCTTCCTCAGCTGCTCCTGGTGCTCAAGACCCTTCCTCAGCCCCATTCCCTTCTCTGGACACGGTTCAGGGCCTCAGTGGCCTTCTGGGGTTGAGGCACCTGGAACTGGACAGAGCACTCGAGGTGTGACCTCTCCAGTTGTGAGTACAGGGGCAGAATCACTGCTATAGGACACACTATAGGGTACTAGAATGGTTTGGGTCGGAACTTAAAAGATCATCTTGTTCCACCCCCTGCCGTGGCAGGGACACCTCCCACTATCCCAGGCTGCTCCAAGCCCCAGCCAGCCTGGCCTTGGACACTGCCAGGGATCCAGGGGCAGCACAGCTTCTCTGGGCACCCTGTGCCTCCCCACCCTCACGGGGAAGAATTTCTTCCCAATATCACCATCCTACCCTTCGCTGATGTGGAGAGGGCCACGCAGATTCAACCAGGGCTGCTGTGACCACAGCCATCACACAGCCATGTCCAAGGGGAGCAGCTGGCTCCAGCAGTGTAGCTCCACATAGCTCCTATCCCAAATCTCAAGTACAGACAGGACCAGAGCGCTGGAATTTCCAGTTACGTGTATGCTTCAGGAATTTTGTTCATAGAAAATGTGTTTTAAAGATGACCCATAAAGGAAGATGAATAAGTTGCTATTTTCTTCCTGCTTGATTGTTGCCATTTAAGGCCGTGAATTACATTAAGGGTAAATTGGGGGTTTCACTTAGAAATAGCAAGTGCCTCAAGTCTTGATTATGTATTTTGCTTCTAGGCTTGTGAGAGAGCTCTGGAGTCAAAGAGGAAAACCATTTTTAGCTCTTAGATGAGAGAGAGCCTCTGCAGAGGATCTGTACCTGCTTTGTTTGTCATGTGTTTCACTTAAATAAAAGGTAATCACAAATTAAATCCGGAGGCCTTTCAGTCAAGACCGACTTGTTTGACATCTGGGAAAAATACCAACCTACCATATTTGCAGTCACCGGGGAAAGCACAGACCAGGGTGGAGGAGACCTGCATTTCCAATGCAAATGATAAATAAAACCAGCAGTGAGTCCCAAAGGCAGAGGGAAGGCCCTGCCCAGAGAGCCAGGGTGGCTGGAGCAGCTGACATTTAGGGTAGCCATGGGTTCCCTCCAGCCCTGGGGCTTACAGCGACCACAGAGCAGCTGACAGCCCCAAATAAGGACTGGGAACGGAGGGTGGTGTAAGGGGCTCCTGAGGAGAAACAAGGCTTTGTAAGAAAAGCTGCATTTGGACTTGTGATCCACCAAATAAACGAGCAGTGTGTTGGCGCAGATCAGACACAGAGGTTGAACATGAGGCTGAAGTGGGCAGTAAAGGAAGAAGGAATTGAACATCTACACTGAACTCTGGCATTTCTCTTCATGGCCCTGGGAGGAGGCCAGACAGTGACAGAGGAAACCCTCCTTGCTGTGCCTCACTTCAGGAATGCTCTTCATGTGGGTAGACTTTGTTCATCTTACAACCAATACACATTTTCCTAGCCCAAACAAGGCAAGGCACATTTCATGCTGTCCCAGTCTAGAAAGGCAAACAAATTAATACCACTATCAAGGTATTTTAAAACAAAATATCTTAACATTCAAGGCCAGTCTGTCCGGGGGATTTTATGTTTTTTTCTCTGGAAAGTCTTGTCTCAGTTCTCTCCTCTGATTCTTAAGACTGATACAGCCTGAATATCTTTTTGTCAGCTTGACTAAAGCCCAGCTGGGTATTAGCAGCCACAGCACTTGGTATGCTTGGGTGGTTTGCTAGCTCTACTGCTGGAAGTGATTCTCAGTCCCTGATATGGTTTAATACTGTAAGGCCTGCTAAAGTGGATTACAGATGGGTATAATGCAAGTCAGGGCAGGCTCCAGGTCAGCAGTCCTGCAAAGAACGACTTCAGAGACCAAGACTGCTCCTCCTCTGAGCACAGCCAATACCACAGACCCATCCCTGAACGGGTACCTTGGAATGGCCATTTTCTAAAGCTGGTGCTTTGCGTCCTCCAAGGGGACTTCTGCAAGGAGGCCAGTTTAGTTTGAATGCCCTGAGATTCCCTGGGATTTTTCCACACAGCCAGCTGGCACCTCTCCTGGAGGAGCACATGCTCACTAACGAGAGAACAGGACCCTCCCCATCCAGGGACCGTTTCTGGTCAACTGTCCCCGACACAGCTGAGAGACAATGAGGCCCTTCAGGGCTAAATCCCGAGAGCTGCAACCATCTCCTTTGCCAAGGACATCACTAATTCCCGGCGGTGGCTTGATTCCATAAGCAGCTCAGTGAGGTGACTTTCCAGGTCATCAGCTAATTGCAGGTGAAGTGCCAGCGACTGTCTCCAGCAGGAGGGAAAGTTGGGAACTCTGAGGGAAGAAAGGGTGTAAAACATGTTTGCTCAGCTCTCTTGAGCTGAGCCATCTCTCCCGGGGCAGCTACAGGGAGGTAGGAAAGGTCTGGGTGCCTTGGAAGGATCTGGAGCCAAGTCCCGCCATCTCTGCAGCCTGAGGAATCCTGGAACATCACCATGGCTGAGCCAGACAGGGGCACACGCTCAGCCTGGTCCGTGGGTGGACATATTAAAGCTTCTGGTCCCCCCACAACCCCTGGCTATTTGCGTGCTGAAGAAGAGGAGGTGGTAGATCGCTGATTATTCTCTACACAACTTCTCCTTTGAGTCTAACAAAGCCAGGACATGGCTCCTCTACTGCCCTCCCTGACAGGCCTCTTGGCATTTCCCCACCTCTGAAACAGTGAGGGGTGAATTGAGCCCTGTGAAACTCCATGGCAGAGAAACTGTGCTTAAAAAATCTCCTCTCTTCCAGCACTCGACATTCTTGAGAGGAAACCACTCTGGTCTCCCCCGTGCTCGCCGGAGCTGGGAGCAGTGAGTAATGCTTGCAGTTGTCCCTGCCCGGCACCACATTCTTTTCTCCAGCATGTAATGGCCCAGAGGAGGGATAAATGGAGCCTTGCTGGAGCAGCCTGCAGCATGGCTGTGCACACCATGGCCTCACACTGGACAGGCATCGGGAAGGGCTGTGGAAGGCTCAGCCTCATTTTACTGAGGGGCTGTTTACCCAAAACAGCAAGTGAAATGGGAAGAAAGGAGAAAAAGCCCTGTCAAGTGTTAATTAACAGCATACCTCTGCTGGCTGTGGAGCATGAAAATCATCCTGACTGCTCTGTGTCCAGCAGCTCTGCACCAGTCTCCCTGTGCCCACACCTCTGCTCACCTGAGCTGCTCTCAGCCCTGGGCATTTTGCTGCTCACTGGTTTCTCACCACCACCAGTTTCTTCTGTTCTTTGTGTCTCAGTACATTTTCCCACAGTGATCAGTGACCATTTCAGAAGAGGCTGAAGAAAGGCACCCCATTTCCCTATTGCTGTCATCTCTTCTTGGCTGCTGGCCTTTTTCCTACCCCGCTCCCACCAGCTCCCTCCCCAGGAGCTGCCATTGCCTCCTCCTCACCCCATTTCCTCAAGACCTCAGGTTATAAACCCAGCTTGGGCCTTACTCCAACCAGTTTCACCTCCTCTCTTGCAAACTGGTGCTTCCAGTACTCATCAGCTCAGCCCAGCGTCTGCACCTCCAGCCCTGCGAGGCTCCCACTGCACCCAGGAGCGAGCCTGGGGAGATGAAGGGCAGAAACCGGCAGGTCCACCCTGAGTAGGGTACGATGCCAGAGCAGGAGCAGGCCAGGCAGAGGATTAAAGAGGAACTAGAGCCTGTTCCCCACCTTTCATCTGCTTCGAGCATGACACAATCACAGACATTAGCTCTTCAAAGGCAGGTGAGGGTGGCAGAGCCTTGGGAAGCTTCACTCCTGAATACGCTCCCAGGTCGGGTCTCCAGGAGCTGGCAACAGTGTTACCTGGCTCAGCTTTTCCTGCTTCCTGACCCAGCAGCCTCAATCTTCTGTCTCCTTTCCACAGATGTGACTCCAACTCTAGGGACTTGCGGACATCCTTGTACCCTACAGCATCCTAGCTTTGTGAGGGTCACCCCTCTTCTTTTCCACAAAACCAGCAAAGTTGATCAAGGCTGAAGCTTCACAGAGGGTTTGGAAGCTCAAAGGATGGGTACAGCATCAGTAAGCTCAAAACCTTCCTGGCAAAGGCTG